GCCTTACTAATAGTAATAGTAATAATAAGAATAAGGTAGAGAACAATGAACCGAAGAATAATCGTACGTCGAAGCAGGCTACTCATACTACGAACAACGATACCAAGATGATTCATATTCATAATAAGAAGCAGCAAACAAAGCAGGCGAATAATACGCATAAGAAGAAGCAGAGGGGCAGGAGGAAGAGGCGGAGGAGGAGGAGGAGGAACGAGGGGAAGATAACGAGGAGCAGGAGCAGGAGGAGGAGGAGCAACGATGCACGAATGAGGAGAAGTAGGAGGAAGAGGAGCAGGAGGAAGAGGAGGACGAGCAGGAGGAGGATGATGATGAGTGTAAACCCAAGAGCCACCAACGATGATGATGCTGATGATGATGATGCTGATGATGATGCTGCTGCTGATGATGATGATGATGATGATGAGGAGGATGAAGAGGAGGAGGAGGAGGAGGCGGAGGAGGAGGAGGAGGTGGAGAGGGAGGAGGAGGAGGAGGTGGAGGAGGAGGAGGAGGAAGAGGTGCAGGTGGATACTGAACCAGGAAGACGGAGGCGGAGGCTCGCAAGAAAAGGGAACGAGGGGAGGATGAGGAGGGAGGAGGAGGAGGACGAGGATGAGGAGGAGGAGCAGGAGGAGGAGGAGGAGCAGGAGGAGGAGGACCAGCGTAAACCCAGGAGTCATCAACGATGTTGGAATACACCCTCCCTCCAAGCTCCCTCCTCACAGGGCCCTACAACGATTCATGTCCACAGTGAACTGCCTCGTTGGAAGACAACCGTTTGAAGACCCTGGCGCATGCCAAAACATTGTTCCCTGGGTTCCAACGCCGCAGATCAACCTGCGTGTTGCGTCTTGACGACCCTGAATCGTGCCAGAACGCCATTCCTCGGACCACAGCACAGCGAATAAACGTAACTGTTGCGCCCTCATAATCCGGAACCCTTCCAACCACAATTTCTGGTACGCTGATTATGGGAATCCTTGAAACCCTTGCAAAGTTTACAAAGGAATGTGCGCAGCGCTAAGGCGAGAGCTACATGTTGAAAAGGAACCGCCCTCAATCCGCGACGTTCTTGCAATTTCTCAAGATGAATGTGCGCGGCGCTAAGGCGAGAGCCACAATTCGAAACCGGCCCGCTCTCAATCCTTGAAGCTCCCGCATTTCTTTTAAAACGAATGTGCGCGGCGCTAAGGCGAGAGCCACATTTCGAAAACGACCCGCCCTCCATCTGTGAAGCTGTTGTCAGTTTTTAAGCTTCAGGGGCGTACATGACGAGTCAGTCTCAGACGAAACGCCCTGGCCGCCCTGAAAACTTGCGTCGGGGTGCAACTGGGATACGTTATTCAGAAGGGGAAGGAACGGAGGAGGTGGAGGAGGAGGAGGAGGAGGAGGGGGATGATGATGCTGATGATGCTGATGCTGCTGCTGCTGATGATGATGGTGCTGGTGCTGATGCTGATACTCATGATGCTGCTGATGATGGTGGTGGTGGTGATGATGATGATGATGATGATGATGACGATGATTATGATGATGAGGATGATGATTATGATGCTGATGCTGATGCTGATTATGATTATGATTATGATTATGATTATGCTGATTATGAGTGACAGGATTCTTTACGAGGAATGAGGAAAATGAGGAGGAGGAGAAGGAGGATGAGGATGATGAGGAGGGACAGGTAGACAGACCGAGAAGAATTAGCGCTGTGCCTCTTGCACCCGATTGGTACCGAGCATAATGCTGGGGGCCAAAGGATGGGAGGCTGCAGCGGGCCAGCCATGCTAGGACTGCCTCGACGAGCACACGGGGGAGCTCCTTCAGGCTGGTCACGAGCACACGGATGGAAGCGACACAATCTGCACCAGTGGGCGCGGCTCACGCGATTCCCGCGCCTCTGGCTGCGGCTTGCT